TGCCCCGTACCCCCAGGGGAATGAACTCAAGTTTCACATAAAGTTCAAAAGAAAATGAGCAAAAAAAAAAATCTGACCATAAAAAGGTACTACAATGACAAGAAAAATCAGAACACAAACTCAGAAGAAAACAAAAATGTGAAAACACCTACAACCAAAGCCTTGAAGGAAAAAAATGCTAATTGGGCATAATCCCAACAAGAATTCATGGAACAGTTTGTTTGTTTTTTTAAAGAGAAGAGTAGTAGAGGGAAAATGGCGGCATGGAGTGGGAAGATGAGAGATGCAAGAAAATTATGAAAAGAGAATTAACAGTTTGATAAAAGAGGAATAAAAAAATACTGAAGAAAATAATACCTTAAAAAACTGAATTGGCCTAATTGGGGGTGGAAGGAGTACAAAATCTTACTGAAAAAAGAATCCCTTAAAAATTAGAATTGGGCAACTAGAAACTTGGGGAAAGATAGATGGCTCAGTGGATAAAGCCCTGGGCTTGGAGTCAGGAAGATCTGAATTCAAATCCAGCCTCAGACACTGACAAGCTATGTAACCCTAGGCTAGTCACTTTACCTCTGTTTGGTTTAAACTACTGGAGAAGGAAGTGGAAAACTACTCCAGTGTAATTGTCAAGAAAACCCCAGGGACAGTATTGTATGCTATGGTCCACAGAATCATGAACAACTGAACAACAACAAATTAGAAGCTAATGATTCAATGAGACATCAAGAAACAATAAACCAAAGTCAAAAGAAGAAAAAAATAGAAGAAAATGTTAAATATCTCATCAGAAAAAAAGTAATTGACCAGGAAAATAGATTCAGGAGAGATAATTTAAGAATTATTGGACTACCTGAAAGCCATGATTTTTTTTAAAAAAAGAACCTCAACATTATATTTCTAGAAATTATCAAGGAAAACTGCACCCAATATCTTAGGTCCAGAGGTAAAATAGAAATTGAAAGACTCCACCAATCACCTCCTAAAAGAGATCCCAAAATTAAAACTCCCAGGAATATTATAACCAAATTCCAGAGTTCCTAGGGCAAGGAAAAAATATTGCAAGCAGCCAGAAAGAAAAAATTCAAATATCATGGATCCATAGTGAGAATCACACAAGATTTAGCAGCTTCCACATCAAAGAAACAAAGGGCTTGGAATATGATATTCCAGAAGACAAAGGAGCTAGAATTACAACCAAGAATAACCTACTTAGCAAAACTGAGCAAAATTTCCCCCATCAGGGGGAAAAATGGATACTTAATGAAATAGAGGACTTCCAAGCATTCCTGATCAAAAGACCAGAGCTAAATAGAAAAGTTGACATTCAAATACAAGATGCAAGAGAAGCATAAAAAGGTAAACATGAAAAAAAATACAAGAGACCCAATAAAGTTAAACTATTTACATTCCTATGAGGGAAGATGATGCATGTGAACTTTATCATTATTAGAGCAGTTAGAAGCAGTCTGAATAAACAGAGAGCACAGGTGTAGTCAATTACATTAGGATGATCGAAAAAAAAATGAAAAAAAGTGAAGTGAAAAAGAAGGATGCACTGGGAGAAGGAGGGAAGGAGAGGTAGGATGGGGTAAATTATCTCACATAAAGGAGATATGCAAGGAAGAGCTTTTAGAATGAAGAAGGAATTGGGAGGGGTGGTGGACAATGTGTGAACCTCACTCTCATAAGAATTGGTCCAAAAAGGGAAGAGTGTGTGTGTGTGTGTGTGTGTGTGTGTGTACCAAAACATCAGCAGTAATGAAGAATAGAATCAATTACAAAATAGAATCAATTTTTATATTCTCACAGGGAAATAGGAGGGAAAGGGGATAAGAGAAGGGGCACGACAAAAATGGAAGTAGATTAAGGGAGGCGGTGGTCAAAAGCAAAACAGACTTTTGAAGAGAGACAGGATAGACAGGCAGAAGGATAAATTGAAGAAAATAGGATGAAGGGAAATACACAGTAATCATAACTGTGAATGCAAATGGGAAGAACTCACCCATAAAACAGAAGTGGATAGTAGAATGGATTAGAAACTAGAATACAATAATAAGTTCTTTACAAGAGATACACTTGAAATGGAAAGACACACACACACTTAAAATAAGAAGATGGAGCAGAATCCATTGTGCTTCAGCTGAAGTAAAAAAAAAGGCAGGGGTAGAAATCATGATCTCAGACAAAACAAAAATAGATCTAATTAAAAGAGATAATCAGGGAAACTATATTTTGATAAAAGGTACCATGGACAATGAAGTGATATCAAAAATTTTTATAGTAAGTTTCTCTGATGAAAGCCTCTTTTCTCAAATGTGTAGGGAACTGAGTGAAACTTATAAAAATAAGAGGCATTCCCAAACTGACAAATTGTTAAGTTATATGAACAGGCAGTTTTCAGAAGAAGACATCACAGCTTTCTATAGTCATATTTAAAAATGATCTAAATCATTTTTGACTAAATAAAAGCAAATCAAGACAACTTTGAGATACCACCTCACACCTATCCAGAAATGAAAAATGCTGGAAGGGATGAGGGAAAATAGGTATATTAATGAACTGTTGGTGAAGTTGCAAACTTCATTCTAGAAAACAATTTGGAACTATACCCCAAGGGCTAAACTACTTCCCTCTTGACCCACTAAGACCACTACTACTTCTGTACCCCAAAGAGATCAAAGGAAAAGGAAAAGGACCCATATGTGCAAAAATATTTATAGCAACTCTTTTTGTATTGGCAAAGAATTGGATACTGAAGGAATGCCCATCAGTTGGGGGATGGCTGAACAAGTTATGGCACATAATTTTGATAAAGTGCTATTGTGCTATAAGAAATGACAAGGGGGATGGTTTCAGGAAAACAAGGGAAGACCTATATGAGCTGATGCAAAGTGAAGTAAGCAGAATGAGGATATCATTGTACACAGTAACAGCAATATTGTGACGATGATCAACTGTGAAACACTTGATTACTCAGATCAAGACACTGATTCAAGACAGTTCCAAAGGACTTATGATGAGAAACACTACCCAACTCTAGAGAAAGAACTGATAAACTCTAAGAGCAAATTGATGTATAATTTTCGTTTTATTTTTCTTCCTTTATTTTTTTGCAATACGGCTAACATGGAAGTATGTTTGGCCTGATTTCACATGTATAATTGATATAATCTTGCTTGCCTTCTCAGTTGTCAGGGGAGGGGCAGGAGAAAGGGAGAGAATTTGCAACTCGAAAAAAAATTTAAAAGAATGCTAAAAATAAATAAATAATGACGAAAATTTTTAAAGAGGAAAGCTCAGCTCCTTTTATGTTTCCTCTCCTACTTCTACTGTCAAAGGGGAAAGTAGGACAAGACCCTCACCAATAAGCTCTATCTCTACTTCCTCCAAATCCTCTACTGTTACTAACCTGGGAGGATGAGGAAGGGAAGGATGGAACCAGAGAAGAGTGGGCACAGCAATCTCCTAGAGCATCTGTGCAGACCGCTATGAGATGAGTCACATTCGGCTTTGTATCAGGAGTTATACATCATCACTGAATCCTATAGTTGGAAGGGACTTCAGAAAGAAGGTAGGTCAACTCCTTGGCCATAATACTTTCCATAACATCCATGACAAGTGGTTATCCAGTCTACACTTGAAGACCCCTTCATGGTGGTGGTTGGAACTAGATGTCAGTGCCTGGGGGGATTTACTTGTCATGGGAATAAAGGAAAGAGAGTTGCAAAGCCCCAAACCTGAAGGAATAGGCTTACCAGATAGTGAACCACAGCAAGAATTCAAGTCCTAAGGAACTGGACAGGAAACTAGCCAGGAGGGCTGTGCCCAGACAGAGCCTGGTCAATTGAATTCAATTAAACAAATATTTAATAGGGATTTATTATGTGCAATCTCCTTGTCTGGTGCTGGAATTACAAAGATATGTTACAGATAGGTCTTATAATCTAATGGGGAAAGAAGTGTGCAAAAAAGAAAACCCTGGATTTCTAGTCAGAGACTCTAGTGAAAGGTCCGATCCTGTACCTCTGTGATTTGGGCAAGTCTTTTCACTTTCAATCAACTATGAAACAAGGAAGTCAGGCTAGATGATCTCTAAGGCCCCCTTTAGCTCTTAGTCCTGTGCTCTTCTGACACAAGAAAGTATGAGATGAGGGCAAAGGAGCCAGAGTACTAGGAGTTGAATGAGGAAGGAGAGATCACATAGAGTTTGAGGGAAGGGATAGAGGGATATCAGGGAAAACTTCATATAGTGAGAGCTGAACTAGGCCCTGAAGGAAGGGAAGGGAAGAGGCAAAACTCTGATTATTGGGATAGGTGCATTAGGTCAGAGCAAGAAATTGAGTTAATGTGGAAGCACCCAAACTATGGATTCCCTCCAGCCATGGATCAAAATTGGTTGTGGTTGGGAGGTTAGAGTGAAATAGCCCCAGATGGAAGGAGGCAGGGAACCATTCTAGGTGTGATAGGAACAGGGTTCCCCATTTCCCTTCAATAAGGGATTCATTTTCCCTAAAATGCAACAAAGCTAGACCTGCAATTTAACTGGCTCCTGTTTTCTTAACGCAGTTTCCCAGTCACCTAGGGACATAAAAAGTCCCTCCCACAAGGAGTCAGGGCTTGGTGGATTTCTGTCACCATTCAAGTCACCATACTCTGCCCTTCTGACCAGATGAATTTCTGTGTGGAGATTGGGGAGGAGGGTGGAGGTGGCAGAGTCTAGCAAGGCTTTGTCACTGTATTTTTATTGCATATCCTCGCTGTGTTAGGGCAAAGCAAACTTTCTTTTGTTAACTGTTCAGTCATTTTCAAATGCTTCATTTGATCCCAGGATCAAACCTGAACTAATAGGATCATGGTGTTAGATTTGCTTCTAATATTCAGCATATTTGGCAACTGAGACAAGATGAGATGACCTCATGGCTGACATTGTGGTTGAGGTAGGGAAAGAACACTACAAATACAAAGAATGAGGTAATCAGGTGGCAGGACACTACACATACCCAGTCATCAGTCCTTCTGATCTTGTGGGGCATCCTCTTTTTGGGATAGTGTAGAAGCTCCCATTCAGTCAGGGCAACTGGCTTAGTGAGTTCTAGCAGAAACTCCCCTAGAAGGGTTAAAAAAAAAAAGTGAAATCCAGAATTCTCTGGTTATTGCTGACCAGCCTACGAAAGTTTTGCTATTAACATAATAAGACAGAAAGTGAGATTTCCAGTCCATGTAACCAAAAAGATGGAGAAATAGACATTTTTCTCCAATCTTCATGAGCTTTTAAACTTTTCCCCAAAAAAGTTATCTTTTTTGTGCAAGAAATAAAGTAATTTCAGCTGTCTCTACAACCTATGACACCAAGAATCTTAACAAGGTAATAATTAAATAAATTAACAGTACAGCAGGCTATTCCCTAACTCCTCACTCAGCACCCTTTCTCCCACAGCCCATCACTAAAGTAGGACTATACAAGATAATCTAAAGGCTTGTAATAGGACACAAATCTACCAGTCACTCCTCCAGTGTCAGTGAAAAACAAAAGACAGAAGCTTTCTCTCGCTGGGACAGCAGCATGGCAATGTTCTGGAATGAAAACAGAATTCAGTCAAAGAACTGAAGAAACAGAGGGAGCTAGGGTGGGACACAAGTGCGTGATTGTATGGCACTCCGCTAAACCTGACAGAATCCAGCTGGGGGCAGATCTGTCCTCCTAGAAGTCATTTGGGGCAGAGATTGAGGCCAGTGAAATGTGAATTGCCCAGCATGGGAGGAAGCTAAAATGGCTTTGAGGTCCAGCCTCCAGGGAGACTACAGTCAAAGGGAAAGGAATCAGAAAGTGAGCAATAGGGGAAAATAAATGGAAAAGACTAAAATTTCCAAAGATCTCAGGAAAAATAAAAGCTCACTTAAAGACCTTAAGTGTAAACAGATAAATCAACAGCAAAGATATTAATAATAGAAGGGAACATAGCCTTTAGATCTGCTAAAAAAAAAAACAGTCCAGACTTCTATCAATAAATATTGCAACACAAAGACTAGAAGTGAACTGGCCCAGACTATTCAACAATGAGAAAGTTCTCAGTTTTCAGGGACCTTTCTATGAAAGCCCAGAGGCAATTCATGGAATTTGGTGGCCTCAAAAGTGAAGGGATCACATAATCAAACACAACCTTCTTAAGAGTCTGCTTTTCCAAGAGTTTGGTGGTACCATAGTCTCAAGTCCTAATGTCTTTTCTAAGAGGTCACCATGCAGATATTTGTGAAGACCCTGACAGGCAAGACCTTTACGCTGGAGGTGGAGCCCAGTGATACCATTAGAATGTAAAGGCCAGAATCCAGGACAAAGATGGCACGCCTCCTGACTAGCAGAGGCTCATCTTTGCAAGCAAAAAGCTAGCAGATGGCTGCACCCTTTCTGACTATGATATCCAGAAAGAATCCATTCTCCATCTGGTTCTAAATTGTAGAAGTAGTATGCAGGTCTTTGTAAAGACCCTGTCAGTCAAGACCATCACTCTGGAGGTAGGGTCCAGTGACGCTATTGAGAATGTAAAGTCCAAAATCTAAGAAGAAGTGGGGATTCTTCCTGACCAATAGAGGCTTACAATTGCAGACAAGCAGCTGGAAGATGGCTACACCCTGTCTGACTACAACATCCAGAAAGAATTCATTCTCCATCTGGTCCTGCAACTTATGGGTTGTTGTTAATTATTGATTTAATTATGAAAGCATAAATTGCCAATGAGAGCATTATTTTGTACTTAAAGCTCTTTAAAGAATTAATATTGTTTTGAGATTACCAGGTTCAGTAACAACTGAGCAAAATGCTAATAAACATTTTTGTTGCACATTTTAAAAAACAGTAAAGGGATCTCTCTTGATGGGAGTGAGGGTGGTGACTGACAGGCCATAACCAGAAACTTATTATATGGTCTCTGACTTAGAGATCCTGGTTCCCATGGAGATTGGATGTCCTGAGATGGGAGAATTGGAAATAAGGTAGAGATTTGGGAATTTCCACTGATGGTAAGAAAAACCAAAGCTAATTCTAGTAATGGTACCGGGAGTAAGGTGATTCCCTGACTGAGTAGGATGAACAACTTTCTCCACCAAGGAGTTAGGATGGTTGCAGGATAAGTTTAAATAGAAACCTAATGAGTCACTGGCACAATGGATCCTAAGGGTGTGGTCTAATGGAGTCAATGCTGAGATTCTCTCTACAACTGACTTCCATAGGGTATACTTACTTTTATAAGCCTCCAGATGGGGAATATTCTTTGTCCCTTTTCAGGTGGCTGAGCAGGAAGCTATCTGCAATTGGTCCCATAAAGATGAATTCTAATTAGAACCAGCTCCCCCAGTGAGGATTTGAAAGGGAGGTGTTCAAAGTCGAAGAGGAAATGAGTTTAATAATTTGGATTTATGTGGCTTCTCTATGTGCTGCCTCACCCTATAACCTGCGGCCTCAAGGATTATTAGGTCCTACCTACTGGGCGGATCCCAACTAAAATAGCTTTAGGCTTTAACTATGACTTTAACTTTAACTAGACTTTGACTAACTTTAACTTTAATTAGACTTTAACTTCACAAATATACAAGTGGGGGCCAATCAGCTGCTGAAATTTGAACAGGATGTAGGGACAGTTGTGGCTTGAGAAAATATTGCCATCAGTGCAAATGAGCATTCTGGAATGAATGGAAGTCAGAGAGCTCCATGCCTTCAAAGTGGGCAGGAGGCAATGACACCTTCTCCTGAAGAGAACTTTAGTTGTGGCTCCTGAAAAATAGATTTGACAAGAAATCAATTGATGGACAGTTGGGGGGGGGGTTGGATGGGGGAGGAATAAAATTATACAGGGAAATCCAATACCAAGATACCTGGGGCTCTTTTGGCCTCACCCAACCCTGAGTCATCCTCTAAAGTCCCTATCCCATTTCACACAAATAAAGTCAGATCTAAATAATTGGAAAAACATCAGTTGCTCATGGATGGGCTGAGCTAATATAGTAAAAATGACAATTATACCTAAATTAGTGTACTTATTCATTACCATACCAAATCAAACTGCCAAAAATTATTTTATAGAGCTCAAAAAAAAATAATAACAAAATTCATCTGGAAGAACAAAAGGTTCAGAATATCAAAGGAATTAATGAAAAGAAATGCAAGGGAAGATGGCCTAGCCATACCAGATCTTAAATTGCATTATAAAGCAGCAATCATCAAAACTACTTGGTACTGGCTAAGAAATAGCATGGTAGATCACTGGAATAGGTTAGGTACACAAGATACAGTAGTCGATGACTATAGTAATCTACTGTTTGATAAACCCAAAGACTCCAGCTTTTGGGATAAGAATTCATTATTTGATAAAAACTGTTGGGAAAACTGGAAAATAGTATGGCAGAAGCTAGGCATATACCAACATCTTACACTGTATACCAAAATAAAGTCAAAATAGGTACACAATTTAGATATAAAGGCTGATACTATAAGCAAACTGGGAGAGCAAGGAATAGTTTCCCTGTCAGATTTATGGAGAACAGAAAAATTTATGACCAAACAAGAGATAGAGAACATTATGAAATGCAAAATGGATAATTTTGATTACATTAAATCGAAAAGTTTTTGCACAAACAAAGTCAATGCAACCAAGATTAGGATAGATGCAGAAAAGTGGGAATGAATTTTTATAACCAGCATCTCTGATAATGGCTTCATTGCTCAAATATATAGAGAACTGAGTCAAATTTATAAGAATACAAATCATTCCTCAATTGACAAATGGTCAAAGGAGATGAACAAGCAGTTTTCAGAGGAAGAAATTAAAGCTATCTATAATCATATGAAAAAATGCTCTAAATCACTATTGATTAGAGAAATGCAAATCAAAATGACTCTGAGGTATCACATCACACCTATCAGATTGGCTGACATGGCAAAACAGGAAAATGATCAATGTTGGAGAAGATGTGGGAAAATTGGAACACTAATGCATTGTTGGGTGGAGTTGTGAACTGATCCAGCCATTCTGGAGAACAATTTGGAACTATGCCCAAAAGGCTATAAAATTGTGCCTGTCCTTTGACCCAGCAATACCACTTCTAGGTCTGTATCTCAAAGAGATCATACAAATGCAATAAGAACCCACATGTACAAAAACATTTATAGCAGCTCTTTTTGTGGTGGGAAAGAATTGGAAATTGGGGGGATGCCCATCAGTTGGGGAATGGCTGAACAAGTTGTGGTATATGAATGTGCTATGAGAAATGATGAGCAAGTGGACTTCAGAAAAACTTGGAAAGACTTGTATGGTCTGATGCTGAGTGAAGTGAGTAGAACGTGGAGAATTTGTACACAGTAACAGCCACATTGGGCTGTGACTAACTTTGATAGACTTATCTCTTCTTAGCAATGCAAGGATCTAAGACAACTCCAAAAGACTCATGCTGGGAAATGCTGTCCACACCCAGAAAGAGAACTATGGAGTCTAAATACAGACTGAAGCATACTATTTGCTCACGCTCTCTCTTTTTTCTTTTTTTTTTTGTTTGTTTCTTCTTTTTCATGGTTTCTCCCATTGGTTCTAATTCTTGTTTACAATATGAATAATATGAAAATAGGCTTAATATGAATGTATGTGTAGAGCCTATATCAAATTACATGCCATCTCGAGGTGTGGGGAGGGGAGAGATGGGGAGAAAATATGGAACTCAAAATCTTATGGAAGTGAATGTTGAAAACTAAAAGTAAATAAATAAATTTATTTTAAAAAAATAATAATAAAGTCCCTGCCCCATTTGGATCATCCAGGGAAACTACAGAAAGTAGACCATAGAAAGAAGGGATATTAGGAATTCAGTGCCTTCAAGGGTCCTAACAGCAACCTTATAGCATGTTACTGTGAGTAGAGCCAAATGGGAACCCTTAGAGTAACTCAAACAATCCCATGTAGTTAATCTATAAAATATCAGGTCTCTGGGTCAGGGTGAGATGAAAAATATTTCCTCTCTAGTGATGGATATAAAGGAGACTCAAGTACTTCTCTACACAACTCCCCTTTCAACAATCCAGTGTGGCACATGGCAGCCAGCTTACAGAGGATGGCAGAAAGCTAATCAAAGTTGTCATACCCATTGCTGTATCATCAATGTGGTAGATCAGTTAGCCCAAGCCCAGAGTGAGTGGTATGTGGTTATCAATCTCTAGACAATGCCTTTTTTCTCTATTCTTGTAAACGAGACTAGGTGGCCAGTTTTCTTTCACTTGGGAAGGAATCCAGTATACCCTTCACTATCCTTCCCCAGAGCTACATGAACTTGACCTCTACTGCCATAGTCTAGTGGGTAGAATAGGCTATGATGTGGATAATACCTCAAAAAGTCATTTTTCTCTTACTTCAGGAGGTGTTTTTGAATCTATATTTGAACATGGGATAGGGGGAAGGAGTTAGGATCCCCTCTGTAAAGCCATTGACAAATGGTCATCATCCATCTTCCACTTGAAGAGACCCAGAGAGGGAGTGCTTATTACCTCTTAAGGA